ACCTCCTGCGTCATTGGTCTGTTGTCCCAAGCTGGAGAAAAGGTTGGGTTGTCAAGCATGTGTTTCCCATCAGGATCTATAAGGTAGTTCCCGAAGGTGCTCTTTCCCATCCCAGTGGATCCTATAAGGAGAACAGCCATGAATGACTGAAGGGAGTTGGAAATGAAGTTGCTTCAATAATGCATGTAGCTATAGGTGGTGTGGTGTGATCAGTGGTGTGATGTTTTATAAAAGGAAATGTAACCAATAGCTCATAAAAGGAAAGCCAATAGTTCATAAAAGGAAATGTAACCAATATTTTTACAAAACAATGAATCTGTATACAGTTGTACAGCAGTAGCTACATAGGTGATGATATTATTCATTGTTTCTAGTGAAGTGTCAAGTTACAATTCTTATTATTCATGTGGCATATATTTTGTTAGATACACTAACAAGTTGATAATAATGGAATGATAGGTATCTCTGGTGGATGTGTTGGTGGTTCAGTTACTGAAATTAAAGCAAAACCTGTTGCTAAAGCTGATCAGATTGTATTTTTAATTATTAATATAGTTTTGGGCTTGTTCGTCTTAAGCCTGGTTTCCATATAGCCCTACAACAGCCTTTGTATAATAGTGAGTGGGCGTATCAAAGGCACCGCCTATGCTACAAATGTGATGTATCCCTGTGGTTTTATTTGTATCCCTGCGGTTTTGACAGAAATTTTTTTATAAAATAAAATATACAAAGCAACATATTGGACAGCTAAATAAGCTGGAATTCAATTCAACTCTCAATGAAGTATGGGCATTGGCCAGGGAGCTCGGAGCGGGGACCGACAGGTACAAAGCCGGAAAATAGGGAGGCTCCAGAGTCCAGATGACTTTAGATCGAGGCACAGACCAATAATTCACGCAGGTAGAGTTCACTGCTCTCCTTCCGCGTTCAAATCAATGGTTGTCTTAACCTCAATGGCTAACTAAGATGGCCGGGGAGGTAAAGTCATCGAAACACGGGCCCGTTAGCAAGCGCGGGATCTCTGTTCCTAACCTAGATTATACTCTTCCAGATATCATAGCCTGAAAATAGATTAGATATGTCAACCTAAAGCCTAAATCTGTTGATAAATTACCTTTTTCTGAGCCTCCTGTCCTCCATTGCTTTCATTTTACCATGAGGTGTATTGCTACTGAGCATGCGCATTGGCGCGCGCCTTTGATACGCCCACTCATTATTACACAAATATGTTGATAACACCCCCGCTGCGGGATACATCGAATTTGTATGACCTCGCCCTCGGGCCTGCGGCCCTCGGGCTCCAGAGGAGGTAGGACACGGTTGACCTTTGAGCAATAATTGCAAAGTTCAATTGCATTCCATTGGTATCACGTGATGAAAAATGGCAGCTTTCTGATGATTGTATCACAAAACTAGCTACTACTGCAGAAACTAGAGAGATCTATGA